GTTCTAGACTCTGAGTCTGCCACAGGGTTTTGGATAGGGGATGGGCAGAGGGAGGCAGAGTTAGGAAGGGCTTCTGGGTCCCTCTGAGCTTCTGCCCATACAGATGGCCAGTGTTGAGTGCTGTAGGGCTATGGGACTGAGCACAGGGCAGACAGAGCCTTGTGCTCTGGGACATGTCCTGAACTAAGAACTTTAAGCTTAGGGCTGGGAGAGCTGGGAGAACCAAGCGGGTGCCAGATCCTGCCAGTGAGCCTTCAAGGCATAGCCTGGGATTTGAAGCATATGAGGAGGCCACAGTGTCAGGATTTAAATCCAGAACCTGAATTGCCCATCCTTTTTGGACCCATGAGTCCCAGGGAACTACTTGGAAAGATTTCCAAGGCTGTCACTTAACTTCCACCATGATTCCAAACTGGAAGAATAAAAAGCAAACTAAACCCATTGCAAATGCTCCACACAGGCTGTCCTGGAGTCCCTGCAGACTCCCCAGACCCTGGATGGGTGATGTCCTGATGCAAATGCTCCACACAGGCTGTCCTGGAGTCCCTGCAGACTCCCCAGGTCCTCCCCACTTCCCCTGCTGTAACTGTCCCCAGCCTGTGCATCTTCTGCAGAGTTGGCCAGGCTTTAGCCACCTCCCCTCTGGTGTGATCTCAGACTGACAGAAAGGCTTTGAAGGTGACCCTTGAGGGGAGCTTTCGGACTGGCACTTGCAGAGCCCAGCAGCAAGCTTTCGATGTGCCCACTCACCCTCCCTTCTTGCTGATTTGAGTCAGCCCAGATCCCAGCAACAGGAACCCGCGCCATCTCATCTGCCTAGCCCGGGCCTTGCCATCCCACCTCCCCCCAGTGTGAGTAAAGACTGTGCGGGATCCTTCTGCATGACCACGTGGTATTATCTGAGCTGCAAGAGCAGGCTCCTGGTGTAGCAGTCAGAGCCACAGAACCGGGGACACGCATCTCCCTGGTTCTTTGTCAGGGGCCTAGGAAGGAAGGGGCAGAGCTGCCCCAGGGTCTTGGAAATACTTGCTGTCCCTTATCCACGCATTGCCACAGGACTGGTGCCCATGGTTCAGGGAACCATGAATGGCTGTTTAGTGGACTTAGAGAAGGCACTTTCCTGCCAAGTTCCCTGACTTAGGCTGTGGATCATTTTGGAAATCTACCATGTGGAAAACATCACAAAACCTAGACAAGTTCTGGGGCTGCACTTCTCAATCAGGCTGCCCACTCTAGGCAGAGGAGCACCATCTCTCCCATGGGATGTGTCATGGAGGACTCTTCTTCAGGGATGGCATATAAGCCATTTCTGTCAGTTCCCCTTGCTCTAGGCGCTAAAGTTTCCTCAGGAACCCCACAGTACTTTCTCACCCACCTCCATGGCTCTTTGCCATTCCTTGAACAGAAGATCTCATAGCCACAAGGAGATGCAGGCTGTTACTAATCCTCACGGTGCAGAGCTCAGAGACCCTCCATCTCTCCATGGCTCTGCCCTGGGCCCACAGGAACATGCAGAGGGCAGACAGGCCCAGGTATATAAGAAGCCACTGCATACCCTGTCTTCTGCCATGCCATCTCACCTCAGGAGGGGTCCAGTGTCACAGAGCCAGTTCCTTCCCTTAGGGGACCACATCTATGAAGCAACCTGCAGTCACAGGAAACAGAGGCACTGAGCCTTCGTGACCACTTAGGTGGCTGAGCAGCCAAGGACAGCATTATTCTTGCTTCAACACAAGGATGGATCCTTCGTCTTTTCCTGTAGCTGTTAGGAGACACACAGAGAAATGCCTCTCGCTCTCAGAAAGTGCTGGCTTCCCACCTTAACAAGGTGTTAAAAAATGGGGCAATGGCTCGGTAAAATGCTTGCCTTACAGGCCTGAGGACCTAAGCTCCATCCCCGGGACCCATGAGAGAAGCCAGGCCTGGTACCATGAGTTTAAAACCCCAGCACTGGAGAGGCAAAAACAGGCAGATCCTTGGGACTCACTGGCCAGCACAGCCTGCTTGGCAAGCTCCAGGCCAGTAAGAGACCCTGCCTCAAAAACAACAGGGTAGACATCTGAAGAACAGCCAGCATTCTTCTGTCCTCCACATGTATATATGCACACTTACAGCACCTGCATGCACACCAACAGCTCATATGCATGTACACACACACACACACACACACACACACACACACACAATGTGGTAACAGTAAGGTTGGATCAATAGCACTTTGAAATTCAAATCTGGCTGGGTTGCCTATATTTTTGTTGCCTAACCCTGACCACCCTAAGAGGAGATAAGCAAAAACCAAAATAAACTCACCCGACACCCCAAACCCTGAGCTGTGGCTCGTTGCTCTGACCTGGTTGTCTGGGGCCTAATGAAGCCAGCTGTAGAGCCCTACCCCCACCCCCCAACACATGCTACCAGCAATGCTCAGGAAGGGTCAGAGGGGACAGGGAAGGTCTCTTCTGAAGTAACTGCCCAGCTCTACTGAGACCCAGTTTCCCACTATTTGAGGTGAAAACTGAGGTGGAAGCATTCCCTGCTGTGGCCCAGGGTGTGTGGTGGAAGTCCTGGGATGGGGCCCCAGCTCTGGCTGGTGCTGGGAGCCCCCTAAGCACTTGGACAACAGGCCATTGTGACCCAGCAAACCTCCCAGGCATCTGGTTACACACCTCCACTTCTGTTGGGCAGCTGTGTACTGTGCACCATCACTGCATCTGAGACCCAGAAAGCAGGGTGGCCAGGAGCTGCTGACCAGTCGTTGTGGCAGATCTGGGGCCCCTCTAGATAGTAGATTCACAGATGCTGTTTCCAACAGCGTCTTCACCACTCCCGACTTGTGTGTGTGCGTGTGTGTGTGTGTGTGTGTGTGTGTGTGTGTGTGTGTGTGTGTGTGTGTGTATGCTTGTCAGCCATGTCACCACATGTGTTCCTGGCTTCCCAAGCCCCTCACCTTGTAGTTTAGAGAGCAGAGTGACCAAGCAGCGAGTGCTGGGTTTCTGGGGCCTAGAAAGGCAACTGTAGACCCTCTGGTCTCTGGGTCCATGTCACAGCCACAGATTGGTTCTGGAGGCCGGAAGTCCCAAGGCCAGATGACAACAGGACTCTTCTCCCTCCAGGAAAGGCACTGTACTGGAGTCCCCCAGTGTCTTCTGGCTGATGGTGGCCATTTGTGTCCCTTAGCTTATAAACATAGCACTCTAATCTGCCTCTCCATACTCACTGGGCATTCTTTCTATGTGCCCACAAGTCCAAATGTCCCTCCTCTTACAAGGATACCAGCTGTTGGACTAAGTCCTTCCCAAATCCAGTGTGATTTCCCCTCAACTAGTTCTAGCTATCTGGAAAAAAACAAAAACTAAAACAAAAAATGATGGTATAGTTTGAGGCTGCTTCCCTAGTCCCCTTACTGTTTCTAGGTTCACCCCACAGAGAGACACTCCCTCCCCATCTGTGCCTGCACCTCACTCTCCAGCCTCACCTCAAGGAGTTAAGCTAGACCCAGGATAAGAACTCATGTCTTCATGTATCAGTTAGGGTTCTCTAAAAGAACAAAACATAAATGAATATTATTGGAGCGGCATACAGGCTATGGGTAGTCCACAATGGCTGTCTCCCAACAGAAATGCCAAGAATCCAATTGTTCAGTCCACAAGCCTGGATGTCTCAGCAGCCTTGATCTATTGCTGGAATCCTGGAGGATTCCTAGAGAACTGCTGGTCTTCAGTCTGTGCTGGAATCCTGAAGAAGTCAGTTCTAACAGCAGCGAAGGAACGCCTCAGCAGCAGGATAGATGAACTTGCCAACAAGAGTGAAAACGAGCAGGCAAAAAGCTTCCTTCTTCGTGTCCCTGATTCATATGGGCTGCTGCCAGAAGCTGTGACCCAGATTTAGGATGGGTCTTCCCACCTCAAATGATCCAATCAATAAAATCGTTCAGACATGCGTGACTACTTGGGTTTTAGTTGATTCCAGACGTAATCAAGTTGGCAATCAAGATAGCAGCCATCATACCACATACAAGGTGTGAGCAGAGCTCCACAACTGGCTCTGAATCTGGGATGGTTCATCCTTTCCCTTTAATAGTCTCAAATCTTTCCTGTGTGTGTGTGTGTGTGTGTGTGTGTGTGTGTGTGTGTGTGTTGCACACATGAGTGCAGGTATCCATGCACATATACACATTGAGGCCAGAGGATAACCTCAGGTGTTCCTTAGTAGATGTTCACACTGATATTTGAGAGCAGGCCTCTCACTGGCCTGGAAGTCACAAGTAGACTAGGCTAGCCCCCTGGAATGCCCTGTCTCCTCCTCTCCAGTGCAGGATCACAAGCACGTACCACCCTGCCCAGCTTTTTATGTGGGTTTTGGGAATTGAACTCAAGTCCAAGGGCTTGCAAGGCGGGCACTTTGCCAACTTACACGTCTCTCCCTTTGTTTTAACAAGGACCGTAGGCTTAGAGCCTACATGGCCTGATGAACTGAGTTCAAACCCTAGAACCCACGTGGTAGAAGAAGAAAATCAACTCCTGGAAATTGTCCTCTGACCTCCACATCCATACCATGGCTCACGTGTGTGCATTCATGACTGCACACATGAGTGCATGTGTGTGTGTGTATACACACACACATAATAATCATCAAAATAAAATAAAATATATGTAAAAACGATTTGTAAAAGTAACCACCGGGCTGAAGAGATGGCTCAGAGGTTAAGAGCACTGGCTGTTCTTCCAGAGGTCCTGAGTTCAATTCCCAGCAACCATATAGTGGCTTACAACCATCTGTAATGAGATCTGGTGCCCTCTTCTGGCCTGCAAGCATGCATGTAGGCAGAACACTGTATACATAATAAAAAAATAAATCATAAAAAAAAAAAAAGAACCATGGCCTTGAAATAGTGACTCTTCATGGTGGGCTAATTATACCCGAGTGGAGGTTACTAAGCCTTCTTTACATATTGACTCCGATAATATCCCCAAATGGCTAAGTGTGCCATGTCTTTGCAGCCTCCCCGGGATGAGAGCCTGAATGGCCTTCTGCAGGGCTACAGGATCTACTACCGCGAGCTGGAGTCTGAGACTGGCATGGGCCCCGAGGCCAAGACACTCAAGAGTCCCTCTGCCTTACGTGCTGAACTCACAGGTGAGCTTTACACATCTGTCTGCTCCTTGGAAGGCATGCTGGGAAATACTATAGAGGAGCCAGCACAGTGAGGGAGCAGACAGTGTAGTGTGAAGCCAGTAGGGCACAGATGGAGGCGGTGGACCCGGAAGCTGAATTGAGAGAGAAGGGGCCAGCTCTGCGGGGACACATTGTGTGGAAAATGGCTATGCGTCGGTACCTCCTGATCTTGCTGAGCCTGGATCCCACCACAGCCAGAGGCAGCTTAACTTCAGAAGACCCTACCTCTCTACCCACCCACCCCCCGGAAGGAAATTGTCCCTAAATAGTGTCATGGAAAATTCCCCTTTTGTTAGGCATGGTGGCACATGCCTTTAATCCCAGCACTCAGGAGGCAAAGGCAGGCTGATCTCTATGACGAGGGACAGACAGGCCAGGAGAACAGCTGGGCAGCACTTCCTACCTAGTTCACCCCCATCAGGCCAGCAAGCGACCTAAAGTCCAGTCATCCAGTGTGCAACAGGGTGCCTGCTCCACCCCACCCTTTCCGCCAGGGTCACACATGCAACTGTAGACAAGCTTGTCCCTGGTGGCTTGTAGCTTGATGAACACTTGATGGGTGACTTCCTCATCCCCTTCAGACCAGAGTCCCACAGCTTGCAAACATCCGTCAGCTAGATAAACCTGCCTACCAGAAAGGCCTGGAGGAAAGAAAAAAAAAGCGTGTCTGTGTCTTTACTGTTGTCCCCTACACTGCTGCCAACGCCCTCATATTCGCTTCCTTCTATCAAAGGGCCAGCCCACCACCACCGGTCTCAGGCTGGTGTGTCTTGCTTGATGTGTTAGGTAGACATGTGGTAACTCCCAGGAGCTAATGAGAAGCCTACAGTCTACAGTACCCAGGGAACTGTGGAAATCAGCACAGCATCCCATCCAGCTTACAGTGTGCCTCATGTCCACCCCACACACGGTTTGCAGGCACAGTGTCCCTCTGTACTAACTGCCTTCCTTACCCCTTGTAGCCCAAAGCAGCTTCAAGACTGTGAACAGTAGCTCCACGTTAACGACGTATGAATTAACACGTAAGTGCACAGCACCTCGGGCCCCTGGGACTGTGTGCAGTGGAGATGCCCATCCCTCTCTCCAAGCCAAACCATCCTGGATTCGTGGCTCTAACTACTGGAGTTCCCCTCTTGATGGTTGTGTCTCAGCATGCCCACATATCAGGGAAACTTCTAGAGACTGAGGCTGGTGGGGTTCCCAATAGTGCCATCTAGCACCCCAACTGGCTGGTACAGAAGGGAAAGTCAGACAAGGCAAGATCTCTCCTGTGACTCTCTTTGCTCTCCCTCTCTCTCTCTCTCTCTCTCTCTCTCTCTCTCTCTCTCTCTCTCTCTCTCCCTCTGTCTGTCCCTGTCTCTGTCTGTGTATCTGTCTCTGTCTCTCTGTCTCTGTCTCTCTGTCTCTGTCTCTCTCTCTGTCTCTGTCTCTGTCTCTCTCTGTCTCTCTCTCTCTCTCTCTCTCTCTCTCTCTCTCTCTCTCTCTCTCTCTCTCTCTCTCATAGTTATAGTGAAATATACAGGCCAAAATGTTTGCCATCCTAACCATATATTTTCAATTTATGGGTATTTTGCCCACATGTATGTCTGTGTACCATGTATGTGCCTGGTGCTCAAGAAGGCCAGAAGAGGGCATTGGATCTCCTGGAACGGGAGTCACAGGTGGTTGTGAACCTTATGTGGGTGTTAGGAATCAAACCCAGATCCTCAGCAAGTGCTCTTAACTGCTGAGTCAGCCCCCATCTTAACGCTTTTAAAGGCAGTGGTCTACTTTCTTTCTCTCTGAACTAAAACCCTCTACATTGAATACTGACCACGGGGACTGGTTTTGTAGCTCAGTTGGTAGAGAAATGCTTGCCTAGCATGGAGAAGCCCTGGGTTCTATTCCCAGCATGGCATAAACCAGGCGTGGCCGTGCACACCTGCAAACCCAGCACTTGGAAAGTAGAGGCAGGAGGATGAGGAGTTTGTAAGTACCTGGGTCTTTATCTGGTGCCTGTCTCCAGGAGAGCTGCTGCATAAAGGCAGGTCAGGTCCTGGATGCTTTGCTGCCCTTTACCTGGGCACAGGTGGGAGGAGTCATCTCATTTGATTGACAGCAGCATCAGGAGGCAGGATGGAGGCATTTCCTAGTCCTTCAGAGAACAGGTTGCTCTTCTCCCTGGGGTCTGCATGGCCTGGGTGTGGTCCACAGAGGAGATCTAAGAACAAAAGCTGGTCCAGCTGTAGGCTGACCCTGTGTGTTTGACCTCGCAGATCTGAAGAAGTACCGACGCTATGAAGTCATCATGACCGCCTATAACATCATCGGCGAGAGCCCGGCCAGTGTACCCGTGGAGGTCTTCGTCGGTGAGGCTGGTAAGCTCCGAGCCTGTCCCTCAGCTCACAGCTGGACAAGGGCTGCAACAATCAATCAGATAGCTGCAGGAAACATAGAGACTCGCTTCATAATGAGAACACTGGAGACTCAAGAAGAATGATTTCTTTTGGGTCCCAGTTTCCATCCATTAAGATAGAGCGGCTTCTTGGAGGAGGTGAACGAGCTGGCCTACATCACAGGCTTCCTCCTCCTTCCTGGGTGTTCTGTCAGGTAGCCCAGCCTGCAGCATGGTGCTGGCTGCATCTCTCCGCCCTTGCATACAAACCCAGAGGCAGCTTTACTCTTCTAGGAAATTCTCAATCTCATCAAGCTGACACAGTATCAGTCACTTTTCTTGTTACTAAGACAAACACCTGACCCAAAGAACTCACTAGAGTGTGTGTTTATTTTCTCGTGGCTGTGACATAAACAACTGAAGAAAAGAAGGGCTGATGTGTTTGAGGGTGCAGTTTGTCATGGTGGGGGAGGCTCAGCTGAGGCAGGAGCGGGGCAGCTGCTCACAGCATCCACAGTCAGGAAGCAGAGAGAGATGCATGCTGGTGCTCAGATTACTTTCTTCTTATTCAATCCAGAACCCAGCCCATGGAATGGGGTCATCCATATTTAGGAAGGTCTTCCCACTTCACTTAGTCTAATTGACAATTAGAGTTGACGATATTTACCATCATAGGAAGGAAGGATTTATTGTGGCTATACTTCAGTCCATCATGATGGGGAAGGCATGGTGGCCGAGGTGGCTCATGGCTTTGTCAGCAGGAACACAAGTTGGCCCATTGCATTTGTATCCAGGAAACTGGGCACTTGCTTTGAACCAAGGTCAAGCTATAACCCATACAGTCCATCCTCTAGCAACCCACTTCTTCTAGGTAGGCCCTGTCTCCAAACGGTTCCATGGCCTCCCAAACAGCATGCCCAAATGGGGATGAGGTGTTCAAACAAATGTGAGCATATTGAACCACCAGAGCAGTCAGGATTGACCCCGCAATGCCCTCCCTGCTTTGGGATGCTGACCTTGTCATTTGATGGACTTGATGGACACACTGCCAGCAAGGTCTCCTGTGCTATCCTTGCTCTCGACACACACGGGCACACCCATCCTTTCTGAAGGCTTCAGCTATGAGGTTCTCCAGAGGGGACTGTTGGAGTCAGAGTTCCCCTAGAGGAACAGAACCCAGAGACAGAATATGTACCTTTTAAGAGGTTTATTTTTTTTAGATTGGCTTACACGACATGGGCTGGGTAGTCCAACAGTGGCCATCTGCATGCTGAGAATCTGTCAGCTGCTCAGTCTATAAGGCTGAATGCCCTAGCAGTCCCCATCCATGGGCAAATGCCTGGGGGATCCCCAGAAAGCTGCTGTTTCTTCGTGCATATTGGAAGGTTAAAGAAGCTGAGTTCTGTTGTGGCAGCAGCAACGGCAGAGAGACAGATGCATTTGCCAGCAAGGGGCAAAGGCAGGCAGGGGGAAACAGCAGCTGTTCCCTCAGGCTACAGCCAGAAGGTGCTACCCACTCTGAAAGACAGTCTACCATGCTCTACTAATACTTCCTGGAAATGCTTTCACAAACTTCCCAGAGGCGGCTCTGAGTTGATGCCATATCCAACCAAGCTCAGCCATCACAAGGGCCTTGTGGGACTGGGAGAAAACTTGCCTAGGCCAGACCGTGTGGTCAGAGGAGCAGCTGTACCATCATCCCCTTTTCTGATGAGGAAAACAGGCCGGCTAGAGCAGACAGGTCATCTACCCGAGTTTAGACAGTAGACAGGTCCAACTGATCCAAAGATGGCCTTCCCACTCTCCTCAGCTCAAGCCAGGCCACCAGTGATTGTTAATCTCGATTGTCCTCTTGACAGGATCTAGAACTGCCTAGGAGACACACCTCTGGCCATATCTGTGAGGGAGTGTCTAGATTAGGTTGATTGAGGTGCAAAGACCTGCCCTAAGTGTGGGCAGCACTATCCCATGGGCTGGGGTCCTGGACTGAACAAAAAGGAGAAAGCGAGCTAAGCCCCAGCATCCATCTCTCTCTGCTTCCTGACTGAGGATGCCACGTGCTGCCAGCGGCCTCCTGCTCCTGCTGCCATGACTTCATGGCCATGATGGACTGTGCACCCTCAGACTGTGAGCCACAATCAACCCTTCCACCTTCAACTGCTTTCGCCTGGTATTATACATCAGCCCTGTGTGGCTGAGGCACAGCCCCCATGAAGGACTCCACATCCCAGCCCCCCACCCCTCTCTTGGAGTTGCTAAGATTTTATCACTACCTATGCCTGTCCATGCACAGTGAATTTAGTGTCCCCAGAAGTCCCACCATGCCAGAGGCGGCTCTTCTGCACCTCCAATAATGCACAGAAGTCCCACATTCCAACTCGCTTCCCTTTGGTCCACATCTTATCCTGGGGAGAATTCTCTGGAAGGAGGAAGTAGTGAGCCAGTGAAGCATCGCTTCCAGTCAGTCATCGCAGGTCTCCCTGCTCCTCACAGCCAGTCCCCTGTCTGTAGTGATCTGGCTCACGCTCATGTATATGTGTGTGTGTGTGTGTGTGTGTGTGTGTGTGTGTGTGTGTGTGTGTGTGTACATGAGTGTAAGTGCACACCTACAACAGCATAGGTGTGGAGGTCAGAAAACAACCAGTGAGTCAGTTTTCTCCTTCCATCGTGTGACTCCCAGGAATTGAACTCGGGTCATCAGGCTCACCAGCAAGCAGCTTTACCTGCTGAGCCATCTCATCCACTCATCCCTCTTACAACCACCCTCTGAGCATCACATGCAAGTCACCCTGAAGTGCTCAGAGGTTGCTATGGAAACAGACCCAGCTGTGCTTTTGTAAGTGAGCTTGTGAGTCTGAGTGATGACCCTGCCTTTTTCTGGCTGTGTGACCTTGAGGATATTACTCAACCACTCTGAACTCTAGCCTTTGAGCACTGTGATACAGTATGGAAATCTGTGAGCCACAATGAAGAAACTCAGGTTCATCTCCCAGCAAGGCTCCCAGCCCATCTGTCCATGGAATGAATCTGTAGAATGTGTCTGGCTTGGCATACGCCCTCTTCATGTTTACTGAGCATGCAGGAAGCTCCTTTCTGAGTTGCCTGAGGCGTCTGGTCAGCTATGGGATGGGGCTTGGAGAGCGAGTGTTCTCTCTGGGTCTCCTCTTGATCAAATGTGTACTGTTTACCTCTGTGAGCCTCAGGGAGCAGGTTGTTTGTAGATGCTTTTCACAGAGATCTGTGTGTGAGCGCCAGTTATGAACTGGAAAGAAAAATGAGTCTGTCAAGATTCAGTTCATAGAAGGCAGAAGCCAGCTCCACCTGCTCCAAACAAGACTTTGGCGGGAGAGTCCTATCCATGATACTTGCATTGCTCAATTCTGTGATAGGGAAACACTTATTTATTTATTTGAGACAGCATCATTTAGCCCAGCCTGGCCTGGAACTCACTGTGTACCTGAGGATGGATGACCTTGACCTCCAGATCCCCCAGGCTCCACCTCCTAAGTGCTGGCATCATAGGCACGCACCATCGAGTCTGGCCCATGCCATGCCAGGGATGGAACCCAGGGCCTGCTCCTTGCTTGGTAAGCACTCTGTGCCATTAAGATCTATAGTGGAGCTTGGCGCTCAGCAGAAATTGAGCTTCTTTGAGATGGTTTGAAAGGCAGTTTCCTACCCCGACCCCTGACTCCCAATCCCTGGCTCTGGACTCTCAACCCCACCAACCCATCAACAGGGTCTCACCTTGTTATGAGTATCAGTTGCTACTGAATTCTTACACATGGACCAGCTTTCCTTGGTTCTCAGGTATCTCTGCTAGCTGCCTGGCTCCTTTGTGTCCCATCATCACACATCATCACACATGGCTCATACTTAGCAACTCTGCTCATGTTCTTGGTTTCCAAAATTTCACAGCCATTTTATAAGTCAGACAGTCACTTTAGCAAGTGCAAAAAATATTTAAAAAAAAAGAAAGAAAGAAAAAGAAAAGGGTAAATTCTGGGATTCTGATGGAAAGTGATTAAATGACAAATTGATTTGGGGATTCCCATTGCTTTCCTCCTGTCCCTTTCTCCGCTCAGGAATTGGCTGGAGTCTCTTCACATCCTGTGGTGGGGATGGCAGTGTCCTCCATACAGACTGCTTATATAGTCACTGCCAGCAGGTTTTCCTGAAGTTATTACAAAGAGGCTGAGGCGACATATCTCTGCCCTGCTCATCGCTGCTAATAGCCTGAGGCAGAGGCTCATGTCCTTGCAGACATGCAGTCAATCTTAGTCTAGCAAGAAGAGCCACCCTGCGGCTAGGGCATAGCTTAGGTAGAGCACATGCTTAGAATATCTAAGGCTCTGGGGTCTATCCCCAACACCGTAAAAAGCAGGGGCTGGGGAGAGGGCTCAGTGGGTAAAGGGCTTTCAGAGCGAGCATAGGACCCAAGTTCTGTCCCCAGAACACATGCAAACAAACAATGAAAAAAAGTTTGACATTGTGGCATGTGCTCTAATCCCAGCACTGGGGAGGCAGAGATAGGCAGGTCCTTAAGGCTCAGTGGCCAGCCAGCCATGGCCCGGGAGAGACCCTGTCTCAAAAACAAGGCAGACAGTGCCTGAGGAACAACACTAAAGGTTGACCTCTGACCTACACACCTCTCTCTCTCTCTCTCCCTCTCTCTCTCTCTCTCTCTCTCTCTCTCTCTCTCTCTCTCTCTCTCTCTCTCTCTCTGTGTGTGTGTGTGTGTGTGTGTGTGCATACAAGGAACAGCCTTTTAATTTCTCCAGAAAAGAGCTAGGGGTTGCCCTCCTCCACTCAATGGAGACCCAATACTAAGTGCCCACTAGCAGCTGAAGGGCCAGAACTTTGGTCTTTGGCTCCACGAATTTTCCCAGGAGAACAGAGACGATACACACTTGGTGCTCACAGTCCCTCAGGCTCAGTGGGGTTCCATGACTTTTGAAGTCCACAAAGCTCTGGAAGACAGGG